ACCGTATCAAGACGTGGAAGCGGCCTGCCCGGGCGACGCCAAACTGGGCGATCTGATGACTGCAGCGCTCCTGCCCAGTGATGGTCTGAACTGGGTGAATGTGGTAGCCGTGTTCAATGCTAGCAAGAAGCGCCGTCCTTCCCAGGAGTTTTTGTATTGATTTTGCTACTCTGCTCCCTGCTAGGAGTATTCTGCACGTCATATATTCTATATGTAGGTCCTGTTGTTGTTCTAGTTCTAGTCATATATTTTATTGTTCTTTGCACGTCATGTCATGTCAACCTAAACATTAAGCGTTGGTTAAAAAAAATTGGTACAACTAACCGAGGGTACATAATGTAACGCTTCAATCTAAACATGAAAGGGTGAAAACAATGTGTACACTAAAGAGTAAGAGTACCTTTCCAGCTGACACTGATAAAAAAGACTGACATGGTTGACGCATCCTTACTGAAAGACCAACTCCAGCTAACTGGTCTTATGAGTAAGAGTGCCCCAAATCCTATCCAGAGGCCTGCACGCCGCAGCTATCCTGACCTCAAGCCGAACATACACCACACGACTTGGGACAATTAGCATGCATGTACTCCTGGTTCTTGTCACACTCGCCCTGCGTCTTCCAGTACACACAGTGCTGTGCCTTGTCCTCACACGATCCATCCGAAGGCGGCGCTACAGCCGGAGCCCCAGATGGGGTGTAGAACGCACCCACGTGAATCCACTTTGTCGCCGACCATTTTTCGCCGGAAATTACCGGGCAGCCCGCGTGAAGAGATGTGAGGTCGAGTTCGGCGGATGGGGTGAGGGAGAAGAAAAGGAGCGCGTCGCCTCTGATTGGCTTGGCTGCCACTCCCTGCTTGCCGCACTCCGACCAGGTGTCATCCTTCTCCACAGGATCCTGGTGTGGTGTAGATACAGGGAATCAGCACACTTGTGAATACTGAGAACCGAAGCCACTCCCTGCTTGCCGCACTCCGACCAGGTGTCATCCTTCTCCACAAGGGGGTCCTGGTGTGGTGTAGCTACAGACGAATCGGGACAAATTCAAATCGACTCAGCAGACAACAGAGCCCTTCCCTTGTTCCCTGCATCTTGCACAGCATTGCGGATACCCTTTCACTCACTCTCGCTATTGCACACACACACCTCCTCTCCCAAGCCTCCTTCACTGCACATGCCTTAGCATCTGGAAACACTGTCTCACATCCCATCAAGCCCTCTGTGAGGTACATGAGCACCGTGGCGTAGCGGTGTTCACCCTGCTGTCTCTGCCCCTGCCTCGGTGCCCCTGGTTCCCCCGCCCTTTGAGGATCTACGGACCTCTCCTGCACATACCTTAGCATCGAGAAACACCGTCTCGCCTCCCATCAAGCCCTCTGTCAGGTACATGAGAACCGTGGCGTAGCGGTGGCCACCCTGCTGCCCCTGTCCCTGCTGCCGACAGAAAGAAACCTAGTGCTTTATGGAGCGACAAACCCCTCCTGCACGTACCTTAGCATCGGGAAACGCGGTTTCGCCTCCCATCAAGCCCTCAGTCAGGTACATGAGCACTGTGGCGTAGCGGTGGCCGCCCTGCTGCCCTGACCCTGCTGCCCCTGCAGCGCCTTCCCCTGCTACCGATAGAATGTAACCTAGTGCTCTATGGAACTACAAACCCCTCTTGCGCGTACCTTAGCGTCAGGAAACACCGTCTCGCCTCCCATCAAGCCCTCAGTCAGGTACATGAGCACTGTGGCGTAGCGATGCCCACCCTGCTGCCCCTCCTTCTCGAAAAAGTCGTGGTGTGCCTCGTACTTCTGCCCCTCCTGGTACCGCAGCACCTGCATCGCCTCCTGGTTCTCTGCATGGCAGAAAACAGAGAGGGAAAGCGTGAAGAAAAACAAATGCCTTGTTACACCTCTGCACTGCACCGCACCGCACCACCTCCTTAGAGAAGTCGTGGTGTGCCTCGTACTTCTGCCCCTCCTGGTACCGCAGCACCTGCATCGCCTCCTGATTCTCTGCAAGATAGGGACTGAAAAGAAGGGAGGTGCAATCTTGAAAATTCTTTGTCACACCTGTGCACCGCTCTGCACCGCACTACAGTGCACCATTCTTGGAGAAATCATGGTGTGCCTCGTACTTCTGCCCCTCCTGGTACTGCAGCACCTGCATCGCCTCCTGGTTCTTTGCACAGGAGAATTAAGAATGAGCGGATGTGCGGTATTAAAAATGCCTTGTCACAACTCTGCACCGCATTGTAGCACATCTATCTCGAAGAAATTGTGGCGCGCCTTGTACTCGTGCCCCTACTGATACTGCAGCACCTGGATCCGTGTGCTTGTGTTTTGTCCCCCTCCCTGAGCTTCTCTGGTGGACAAGGTGGGAGAAATGGTGGGGTGGCAAACTGACGCACCCCTTTTAACGCCTCAGCACCGATGTGAATATTATCCCAGCCCCTTCACACCACACTGCTTTCCTTGGCTGGAAAGAAGAGGTTCATGCAAGTTGCAAAACGGACCAACAGACAGAGAGTGGCAGTGAGAAAGTGCAACTAAGGATAGATAGACGTACAGTGAGGTTGACTTATCAACAGGGAAAATGGCCTTGATGACGTCACTCACCAACAGGGAGGAAGGTCCATGCAGCAATGCGCTGCTCAATGCGCTTGATGACGTCATCCTGGTGTGTGCATCCATGCATCCATGCAGGGAGTGAGATGAAAGACGAGAATAGGGGAGAAGTAGAGGGAAGGGATGCGGGGAATGAAGATCGGGACGTTCAGGCATGGGCAAGGAAGTTCCACAGGCTGATTACTTATGGGGAACAGCAGCTAACAGCCCAGCAACATTCAGGAAAGCCCAGCCCAGCCCGTACAACCCAGCACAGTCCAGTCCAGTGTAAGCGCCCCTCCCAACCTGCTGGAAGTCCAGGACGTGCTGAAGCCCGTCAGCTGTGGGAAGGAGCAGCTAACAAGAACCTGCCGAAGCCATTCCCTTCCCCTCCCCTCTCCACCCCCTCCCCCCACCTGCTGGAACTCCAGAAACGTGCTGAAGCTCATCGCCCATGGGTAAGCGCAGCTAACAAGAATTTGTCGAAGCCCCCACTTCCCCTCACCCCCCTCCCCTCCCCCCCCCCCCCCCTTCACCCTACCTGCTGGTAGTCCAGGAACGTGCCAAAGCTCGTGCGCACGTCATCCACGTTCGAGCCCTCTCCCTCCCGAGCCACCACCTCCGACCGCTCCAGGCGCGGCCGTGCCTGGCAGTGTGGTTCGGGGACACATGAGGGGCATGCGACAGGTGAGAGGTGCGAAGCCAGGGTGGGTGTGGTGGCGAGGGAAGGAGGGCAGGGGAGTAGGTGTAGTAGGGGGGTAATTCGGGGAAGGACATGAGGCTGTTGGTGGGGGGATCAAGGCTTTGGATGGAAACCGGGAACACAGACAGGGTGGTGTGACGTCACAGCAGTGAGCCGCTCTCACCATGCGGTGATGTGTGACTAAAACGAGCATCCCAACAGGGCGACCATGTGACTAGAGCGAGCGCCTCTCTCAGTCTTACCAGGGCGATGATGTGGTCGCACTCCTCTGGGTCAGAACCGTGTGGTAGAGGAAACACTTTTGAGGCGGCTCAACTACTGAGTCCTTGTGAGGCCTTGAGAGGCCTTGTGAGGCCTTGAGAGGCCTTGTGAGGCCTTGTGAGGCCCTTGAGAGGCCTTGTGAGGCCTTGTGAGGCCTTGAGAGGCCTCGTGAGGCCTTGTGAGGCCTCGAGAGGCCTTGTGAGGCCTTGAGAGGCCTTATGAGGCCTTGTGAGGCCTTGTGAGGCCTTGTGAGGCCTTGTGAGGCTTTGTGAGGCCTTGTGAGGCCTTGTGAGGCCTTGTGAGGCCTTGTGAGGCCTTGTGAGGCCTTGTGAGGCCTTGTGAGGCCTTGTGAGGCCTTGTGAGGCCTTGTGAGGGGTCTCAAAAGTCAGTCTCAGCAGGGCGAAGATTTGACTACAGAGGGTGCGCCCCCCAGTCTCACCAGGGAGATAATGTGGTCGCACTCCTCTGGCGTCAGAAACTTGTGGTAGAGAAAAGCCCTGGTGGTGGTAGTACAAGTGGACGGATGGGGGGATGAGGACGGTGGTGGGAGAAGAATTGATGGTATCGTGTATAGTCCCTGGTAGTGGTAAAACGAGTGAATGAAGGATGGGGAGGGTGGAGTGAGAAGGAGGGATGTGGAGGGCGGATGGGGCGAAAGGGGGATTTGGAAGGTGGAGAGCGGACGAGGGATGTGGATGTTCTGAAGATCGCCTTATACCGCGGTGGGAGAAAGGTGGGAGACGGGATTGACGAGGATAAATCGACAGCGAATACGGCTAGTGGGATTATAAAGATTCGAATGTGCTTAACACTGTCAGGGAGCGCGTAGGCACAATTTCCAAACCAGCACGAATTCACCCCTGACAGACATAGATACTGTAATGACTCATGGCTTTTAACCGTTAGAAGTTCCACTGCCATTTGAACAGAAGATTATCTCGTACCTTGGCTTCCACGACAGCACGGTGACGCGCGGTTCTGTGAGGTTCCCGTCGGCCACTGCTGGATTGATATCCGCCACCCCGAACCTGGTTGACGGGACATGACAATTTGTAACGGAGCATGACGAAGTAGGAGACGGAAATTAGTACACAACGGCTGGATATACGTGTGCCCCTAGATGAAAATGTCACCGAAACGCGCGCTAGAAACTCTATAGGATAATCCAGCATTACTGCTGCTGCTGTCAATGGACATAGCCGAATTTCAGCTGTGATCCGAACTAAAAGGCTAAATAACTCAGATTCTCACTTGTCCGCCTGCCATCCAGGGTACGCCTCAGACTCCGCCTGACACGAGGTAAGACTAGGCCATGCTGCGCAGATAACGGCGAGAAGCAGCCATAGCCGCGTGGCTTCCATTACGAGAACCGTATGAAGAGTGCACTCAAGAAGCTCGTGGGAAGGGTGGCTGGGAAAAGACACAATGGGAAACGGTCGTAGATGCTCGCAGTCTGGTAATGGGAAATGGTAAACTGGAGGAAAAAATGTCGGCTGAATGGAGTGAGCAGAAATTGCTGTGGAAATCCTGGAGATAGCTGATGAAAGGAGCTGTGGGGGGGTTATTCCGTGTTGATGCATTTTCATGTGGTTAAGTACGTTTCGTTTATATTTCAAAGCGTTTCCATAGGGTTCTGAAGGAATCCTGTGTCATGTCACGGCGCTCCCGATGAATCCAAGGGGGAGGAACCTGGCCTCGCGAACCATCCGGTCAGGTTTCGCCAGTTCCCAAGAATCTCTGGTGTAACGAGATTGGGCAATATGACCGCACCACCTGGATCGAGCAAATGAGAAGCGAGGGAGTTTGTCGTCAAAATCACCGCGAAGAACCGCGACAGTTACAGTTTTCTGTGGACCGTACTCGCCTAAACCTTGGAAACCCCCCTGCATCCATCAGCATCACCATTCTCAATGCCAGTTCCTCTCCCACACCGAGGTTGACAGTGTACCGCGCTGCCACGTTGTAAAACACACTCAACCGAGTAGCATGCCCTCCAACCCTCAGCACTCATGCTCGGACTCCGTCCTACTTACCTGAATTCCCATCACACACATGTGGTTTGAGGAAAACTCTAATGGCGGCCGTTTCTTGTTCCTAGACCCCAAGGCGCAATCAGCCCTGACTCAAGAACTTAGTACAAATTCATGTAGTCGCCGCGCGTCTCGTCTTTTCTTACGTTTCTAGCGGAGAAAGAGGTCTGTCGATCCTTCCACACGCATTCCCTTCTGGTTCAGCGCATACGTAATATTCCAAAATGCGGAAGAGGCATCTTGTTCTCGAATTTCTTCTTCCATTCTTCCTCGCGGCTGCTTCAGCGTTGGCGTTATCAACTGACGGAACGCAAAAAGGGTAAGCAGTTCATCATTACCGCCGGTTAGGGTTACAACATTGGTTCAGGTTTCTGGCCACCTCTTTTGACTTCGTGGTGATTCTCAGAGAGGATATCGCATTCGTGATGCCTTGTAGTACAATTTTTTCTCTTGGCCTCTGTCGGCCATTTCCTGACCATACCTGCTGACTTCGCGGCTTTCAAAAGATGCGACGAGATCTCTTGCACAAAGGAAAGTGAACACTTATCTAGTGGCCTTAAAATCGTACTAGTAACACGTGTCACGTGTCCTTGCAACCCATCCGTGTAACGCGAGTTATCCCCTACAGCACCTTGTCAGCGCCGGGACTGAACATCCCGCCGGATTACATTCCGGACCCCTCTCGAATCAAGCAGCTCGCATGGAAGCCCAGGTGCGTCACAGAGGCATTTAACGGTGTAGACTATGCGGGGGATGTGGGGGATGTGGTGGATGCGGGTTTGGATGGGGGGATAAATGGGGATTATTGCGGGGATACATGTGGGAATGGTTGGTCCTGAGCATTTCTCGCCATTCCTCGAGACCCATTCCCTCCAGACCCCTCCCTCCTCTCAATAACCTGTCTTACTTCGAACCACAAATCGTGAAAGGTTTTCCGTCTCATCGCACTTCCTCTAACGTCTCTTTCACTCAACCCCCTATCAATTCCTCCACACTTCCCATCCGTCTCCCTATACCGCTGCTCTCTCTCCCCACTCTCTCCCTCCGTCAACCCCCTCCTCTGACCCTCCTTCATCGCATTCATTATTCCCTCCGCAGGGCTTTCCTTTATCCCAATTTCCTCTCTGCTGCGGAGTGTGATTACATCGTCAACATGGTATGCTAGCACATCACCCTCCCACCACTTCCTCTTGGCCCACCTTACTTTCTTTTCCCCCCGCTCCTCGTTCTGTGATCACTATATCGTCAACATGCTATGCGATCACCATGGCCTACACCACTTCCTCTTGGCCCGCCTTTCCTTCTTTCCCCCCCACTCTCGTTCTGTGATTACATCGTTCTTTTCACCCCGGGCCACTGCACTGATTCCTTTCCATCTTCCCTTCCTCTCCTTCACCGTCTGACCCCCACCTTTTTCTCCCCATCTGGACTTCGTTGAATCGCTCCGTGCTTGTAGCTGCTCCTTCCGTTTTCTTTCAACTCTCCAGTCCCACTATTTCCCTAGATCCATTTTTTGCTTTGTGTAGGCGCCCATTGGAAACCGTGAAACACCGCCCTTAACCCCTTCGTGATGTCCGTCTGTGGATGCATGGTTTCATCGCCCATCGTTTCTGAGTTCTAACACTTTGAACTCCCGGTTGTCAATTGGCGCATGGTGGTAGTGAAGTGAGGGATTACATGAACCAGTCTCGCCACCTGCTGCTTCTCTGCCCCCCTCCCGTTGTCTCTGTCCCTCCTTTCCCCTCGCTTTATGCCCCCTTTCCCCTCACATTCTGTCCCCTGTCCCCTCCCCTTGCCCCCTTGTCTCTCCCTGTGCAGTCGCGCCCGCTAATGGAGTGGTCGACAGTGGTGGGGCAGGGAGGGAAGAGCGTGGTCGACACCATTCGAACCAGCAATGGCTGATCTATTGCGACCCCTGTCCCCCCTTTTTTCGCCCCCTCTCCCCTCCGTTTGGCCACCCTGTCCCGTCCCTTTGGCCCCCTGTCCCCTCCCCTTCCACCCTGTGTCTCTCTCGGCAGTCGCGCCCACTAATGGAGCGGTCGACAGTGGTGGGGCAGGGAGGGAAGAGCGTGGTTGACACCATCCGGACCAGCAATGGCTGCTTCATCGATAAGTACAAGGTGATAAGCAATAGAAACCTCATTGATAAGTGCAAGGTGATATGCACTAGAAACTTCATTGATAAGTACAAGGTGCTAAGCAGTAGAAATTTAATTGATGGGTATTTCAAGGTGATAGGCAATAGAATCTTCATTGACTGCCCAACTCTTCCTTCTCTCACATGTCCTCTTATGCTCAGCTCACCTGCCCCCCCCCCCCTGTCCTCACCAGGACCCAGTCATCAAGCGCATAGAGGAGCGCATTGGTGACTGGACCTTCCTGCCCCTAGGCAAGGCAAGGCAAGCTCGTCACGGCCCTGACTCTCACTCTCCGCCCCGTGCCCTCACCTGTCTCGCCCTGTCCTCACCAGGACCCCGTCATCAAGCGCATTGGCAACGGGACCTTCCTGTGTCACTTTTGAGAGCATTCTCAGTCGTGACACAAGCGTAGTGCCTCCTGTGCACGGCTTGTCTCCCCCCCGCCCCCACCACCAGAACCCGTCACCAAGCGCATAGAGGAGCGCATTGGCGACTGGACCTTCCTGCCCCTAGGCAAGGCAAGCCCCTCCCTACACGCCCCTTACTCTCGCTCTCTGCCCCGTGCCCTCACCTGTCTCGCCCTGTCCCCACCAGGACCCAGTCATCATGCGCATAGAAGAGCGCATTGGTGACTGGACCTTCCTGCCTCTTGGTACGTTCCTTCCGCCATGCCCCTCCTTCATGCATACCATGGGGATGGGCATAGGCGTAGGCATGGGCATGGGGATGGGGATGGGGGTGGGCATGAGCATGGGCATGGGCATGAGCATGGGTGTGGGCATGAGCATGGGCATGGGCATGAGCATGGGCACGGGGACGGGGATGGATATGGGCATGCGCAATCTTTAGACGATTTCAACCATTTGTGTCCGCCAACCTTCAATCTTCACCCTCCCTTTCTCTCACACAACCCATTGCCAGCCAACCAGGAGGCGATGCTGGTGCTGCAGTACCAGCACGGGCAGAAGTACGGCGCACGCTGGGACTACTACGACGATAAGACCCTCACCATCGATCAAAGGCGGCACCGGGGAAGGCTGTGCTCCTGTGGCCTCTTTCTCCTCCTCCCAGCATCCCCTCCCCAGTTCCCCAGCACCTCCTTCAACGTTCTCCCCTTTTCTCACTCCACTCCCTATGATATCCAGCCAACCAGGAGGCGATGCAGGTGCTGCAGTACCAGTACGGGCAGAAGTACGGCGCCCACTGGGACTATTATGACGATAAGACCGCCCAGCCGGGCGGGCCCCGATACGCCACTGTGCTCATGTACCTCACTGACGTGGTCAAGGGTGGAGAGACTGTGTTCCCGCAGTCTGAGGTGAGCGATCAACGCTGTGAAAGGGAGTGAAATCCAATGTGATTGCTGTTTGATACGCCACCGTGCTCATGTACCTCACGGACGTGGTGAAAGGTGGGGAGACCGTGTTCCCACAGTCTGAGGTGAGTGATGCACACAGTGCAGTGCACACAGCGTGTGAAATGGAATGGAATGTGCTGCTAAGTCCGTTTGCAGTAAGCAGCACACACTGTATGTTTAATCGGACCGAATCAAATTAGTTCAGACCATATACCGAACTAACCTTTCCGAATTCACCTCTCTTCCCCTACTCTCCTTCCCCACTTTCCATCTCTCCTCCCTTTTCCCCTCCCTCTCTCCTTGACTCCCCCTCCTCACTCCCCTCTTCCCCTGATCTTGTACGCACCAGGAGGACTCCACAGTGAAGGATGACAGCTGGAGTGACTGCGGCAAGCAGGGAATTGCAGGTATGCAGAGCGGTGCTGGTGGTTTGCAGAGCGCTGTAATGTGGTGTGCAGAGTGTTGGTGGTGGTGGTGGTGGTATGGTGTGCAGAGCGGTGCTGGTGTGTATGTGGTGTGACGGCATGCACTGCAGGGATGGCACCATGTCATGGCATGTCATGGCACTGTGGTGGCAAATCAGGGATGGGCAGGGAAGAGGGGAAGAGCATTTGCATGGCATGGCATGAAGGCTAGGGGAAATCCTCTTACACTCCAACCCAAATCCCCCTGTGCATGTCAAACGCCTTGCGCGCATCTCTCCTTGCAAATCATTAATGATCCCTGACCCAATATCTTGAGCAGTGCGCTCCTCTTCTTCAGCATGAACCCCAACGGCTCCTTCAATACAGCCTCGCTGCACTTGGGTTGCCTTTTTTTGCCTCCCTACCCTCAATCCCCTAAACTGCAGTGAAGCCAGCCAAGGGCAGTGCGCTGCTCTTTTTCAGCATGAACCCCAATGGCTCCTTTGATACAGCCTCACTGCACTCCGGCTGCCCTGTGATCGAAGGAGAGAAGTGGTCGGCCACCAAGTGGATCCACGTTGACTCCTTTGACCCGCCCTTCCGTGACCCGGACGTGTGCCAGGTAGGTAGTGTGTGTTGTGTTGTGTTGAGCATGTATGGTACTTTTGCTGGCTGTGGGTACGTGCATCTTGCATGTGTCGTCTTCTCATGTTTCGCCCTCCCGTGACCCGGACGAGTGTGCTTGTGTGTGTGCGCACGCGTGCAATCTCGAACCACATGCTCAGCACCCCATTCTCTCTTCTTGCATGTGCGTTGTCTTCTGCTGCGGGTGGGTGAGATGAAGACAATTGTCTCTTCTTCTCATGTGTCTTCTTCTCATGTGTCTTCTTCTCATGTGTCTTCTTCTCATGTGTCTTGTCCTTTCACCCATCCGCACGTGTGGTCATGTCTTCTACTTCACCCACCCGCACGTGTGGTCCTGTCTTCTGCTTCCGCAATCCGCACGTGTCAGGACGACGATGCGAACTGTGGCGACTGGGCGAGGGCGGGCGAGTGTGAGAAGAACCCAAAGTTCATGAAGGGCACGGGGAGGGCACAGTATGAGCTGGGTTTTTGCCGCAAGAGCTGTAGGGTCTGCTGAGGAGTGGAGTGCGGTGAGGAGGAGCGGAGTGTGGCAACTGGGCACCAAGTTGGGGAGTGTGGCAACTGGGCACCAAGCGGAACCCAAAGTTCATGAAGGGCACGGGGAAGATGCAGTATGAGCTGGGATTCTGCCGTAAGATCTGTAGGGTTTGCTGAGGAGTGGAGTGCGGTGAGGAGTGGGGTGTGCTGAGAAGGAGTGGGGTGCTTAAGTGAGTTTTTTTTTGGGTAATTAACCCCGACTGGTAGAAAGTATGGTGGTGGGTTGTGTTGTGCTTGATTGATGCTTCTATGGGCTGCTGTGGGGTTTGAAATGACTTGTCTTGCTTTTGAGGTTGAGGTTAAGTCTGAAAGACGATACTTATTGATTATTTGTTGTTTATATGGTATTTACAGGTGTAGTGACAGATCTAAGGTAACCTGTCTAGCTACAATATCAACACCCAGAGCCATTGCTACAGTATCTACACCACAGCCGCCACATGCGCGATTGCCTATCCCATCACTTGCAGCAGGATTAGACTCTGTATGCTCTGATTGCTCTGTTAGTGCCGTATCAGACCCCTCCCCCTGTCTTTCCTCCTCCCAGACTGCCTGCTTCCATTCCCTCCCCGTTTGCACTCTTCCTTCTCTTCCCTTCCCCAATTTTCCTTCTGTCTTTTCCCTCGGACTTCCTTGCCCTTCCTCCCCAAAACCTCCTTCCCTCTGGTCTTCTCTCCGGTCCTCCCGTTCCTGGTTTAGTTCTTGCCAAGCCTTGGAAATTTTCCGAGCCTCCAGCTCATCCGCCCTATCCCCCCATGCACTGCTAGTGCCAGCTCGAGCAGCGATTGCTTCGGCAGCAGCAGCAGTTCGGAAACTAGCAGCAGCAGTCGGAGCAGCAGAGGGAGCGGTAGCAGCAGGATCAGCAAACTCGACTGGAGTAGGCAAAGCAGCAGCAGCAGCAGTAGGCAAAGCAGCAGCAGCAGGAGGGGGTGGTGTTTGGTTGGGGGAGGGAGGAGGAGCAGCCGGCAGATTGTCCAACATCTCCTGAATCTGCTGCTCCAGAGTCAACCGGCCTTCACTGCTGCGACCACCTCTGCTAACATCAGAGCCACCGCCAACATTACCACAACCACCGACAGCAGAATAATCGACACCAAAAGCTGCATCGGCAGCAGCAGCAGCAGCTGCAGCAGCATTAGAAGAAGCAGCAACAGCAGCAGGGCGTGCAGGGAGGGCTCCCTGGGGCAGCTGATCGTGAGAAGCGGCATGCCGAGCAGCAGCGGCTTGTCGTCGCATCCCCATTGCCTCCATCCATGCCTCGAGGCTCCTAGACGCCGGCAGAGACTGGCTCGTAAAACCGCCGCTGCTGCTCCTCCTCCTCTCCTCCTCCTTCTCCCTTGAACAATCATTTCTCATCCTCGCGTTCCTCCTCCTCCACTTCCCCATCTCCCTCATACACCCGCTCAGATGCTGCTCCGTGTGCTCTGCATTCACCGCCTCTCTCCGTACCCCTTCCCTCACCGGATCACCACCACCATGGCCACCACCACCACCAGTGCTGCTCCATCCCCTTTCTCCTATTCGTGCGTCCTCCATCCCATGCCACGTGGCAGCTCCAGATTGGGTACCAGCCGCACCACCAGACGACTCGCCGTCCACGCACGTGCGCGTCCTCACTGGCCTTGCATCACGAAGCATCCAGGAAGGTGCCTCCAGCGGCCACGTAGGCATCTCCAGCATTTGCTGACGTGGATGTGGAACCGGGCGCGGACTGAGCTGATTGGCCGGAGGCTGGACTGTCACCATCTTGAATGGATTGGCAGAATTACTGACAAATGGTGGAGCGGAACGGAATGGGTGGACGCCGATGGCGGTAGCAGTGGCGGGGATTCCATATGTTTTAGTGGGCTCGGAAACGGGTGTTCTTTTGAATGAGTCGGCAGAGGTGTGGGCGAATGGTGGTGCGGAAGGGAAGGGGCGGGGGCCAGCAGCAAGGGCGGAGAGTGCTTGTCGCTGCAGCAGCCAAAGTCGCATCCACGGAGGTGCCGTTGCTGCTGCATCTGCTGCCGTTGCAGTTGCTGCTGCTGCTGCTGCTGCTGCTGCTGCTGCTGCTGCTGCTGCTGCTGCTGCTGCTGCTGCTGCCACTCCTGCTGCTGCTGCTCGTGCTGCAATTGATGCCGATGCTGCCAATGCTGCTGTTGCGTTTCCCTCCACCCTTTCATCGGCTGCAGCAGCAGCTGCTGTGTTGGCTGCTGCGATGCTCGTGGTTGTAGCTGGGGTGATTGCAGCATTTGCAGGTGTAGCGGAGTGAGTTGCATTCGCCGTTGCTGCGGGTTTATCCATAATGGGTGGTCCAGGTGGCATGGATGAGAAGGGATTGTCCTGCCACGTGGCATTCAGCAGCAGCCTTGAATGATATGTCCGCATGACGCTGGCGCTGGGTGGCATGCCACGCACCTTCTCTGCTCCGCCCCACGATCCCCTCCATGCTGAGCTGGCATATGATTGACATGCGTCAGCAGGGGTGCCAAACACGTCAGCAGGTCTACTGTATGCATCAGAAGGTGCCACGCGTGCATCCTTGAGTCCTCTTGGTGACTGTAGCAGGGGGGGACAGGAAGAGGCGTCAACCATTTGTGGCAGAGGCCGTTGGGATGGGAAGAGGTGTGACAGCCAGCGACGCTGGTTGTTCTCTGCTGTTCTGTATGGTTCTCCCAGCATTAGCGCTGCCCCATGAACAGCAGCAGCAGCGGCAGAACCAGCGCCAGCGCCAGCAGCAGTGATCTCGTTATTAGAGTGCTGCTGCACCCGCTGGCGCACGGTGCCCCATTTCGAGCTTATAAAGAATGCAGCTCCTCCAGCCGAACCAACTGCAGCAGCAGTGGAAGCGGCAGTAGCAGTGGCGTCGGTTGGTGTGGTGGCGGCGCCAGTTGCGATAGTGGCAGCAGCTGAGAAAGCATCTCTGACACGTTTACTACTACTGCCAGGCGTGCAAGATTCCTCTTGAAGATTCACATAGTAGTAGCCTGGAAAAGAACCGCTACTCATGGCTTTATTAGTAGTTCCGCCTTCGCCTGGTGTTTGTAGCAGCTTTCCCGCGCTGCCTAGCACTGATGGAAGCCAACGGGTAGAGGCGAGCGGGCTGCGACTTCTTCCGCTTCCCCCCTTACCGCCCCCCCTAGTATTGTCCCTGGCGGCGGCACTGTTCCCCCCGTTGTGCGCGGATTTGTGCCCGCCGAGCGCCTGCAGCGAGCGGAAACGAGCTCCGCACACGAGGCATGTGAAGTGCGGCAGTTCAAAGGCCGCCATCATGTCAAAGAGATTTAGAGAAGTTGAATCGTGCAGAGCCGCCTCAGCTGACAGCTGTTCGCGCTCTGGCAGAGCCTCGGGATTCGGACTTGTGAGCGGCCAGTGAAAGGTTCTGGGACTGATCAGGGTGAGCTAGAGGCTGATGCAGGCATGATGCACAAACTCTGAGAAACAAACTTAATAATCGACAGTGAGCGGTCACAAAATGGTGCTCATTCTGCTTGTAGTAGTGATTGTAACGCGGTAGCTAGTAGTGGTGCTGAGCAGTTCAGCGTTTGACAGTGCAACTCTTTCCGCAATGACAAAAAAGAGGGGGAGAGAGAAAAACAGAGCAGCTTTTTCAGAGGGGGCTCAGGCTGAGCAGACAGATGTTCCGTTCCTTGTGCTTATCCTGAGACAGAATTCCTCCGCGTTTCTTTGCACTCGAACGCGACGACGAGGACCTCAGGGACACGGCTCGCAATTTCCACCAGAGGCTCGGCAACTAGTACAAGGCCTCGAGAAGCAGGGGTAGAAAAAGCAGTCTGCGGCAGTGTGTTTCCCCCAAACAAAGCTTTGGAACTGGCCCAGTTTATGTACCGCTGCTTCGAGCGTGCTGCAGTTCTTCGTAAAACATCATCCGGGATGATTATGTACCGCTGCCTCCGAGCGTGCTTTCGGAAGTTGAGTCAAGTGTGGCGAGGCGACTCGGGTCGTTAACCCATCGACTTGTTAGCAAAGCTCTCTATTTGCTGTTGATGAAATGGAGCTGGAAACATTGAGTGCTACGCGCCGTTCGCATATGTGGGCTGCAGCTTGACGCTTGGCGGACGCGGGCAGTCCGTGCAGCGCTGTGCAGAAGGGTCATGGGTTGCCTATCATTCGCGTCGCTCAACCGACCAAGTGACATTCAATTGGCTCCTGGTGAGTGCTTGTGGGTCTCTGAATGGACCTATCACATCATGCTTTGCAGAACAGGTCTTTGAAACTGTTAGCTCCAATGGGGCCGTACAATATTTTGTACGTAGTACCTAGACTTGCACTGCAGCTGCTTGTGGTGGGTCTGTCAGTCAATGAACCAACTCAGCAATAAGTGTTGTTGACAGGTGGAACCTTGTCATCAGCTGGATGGAACAATGACGAAGAGCGGCGAGAAGGTTGCAGCAGCAGTGATAGCCTCTGCGCGTGCGGATGGAGGAACTCGTCAGAATTTCTATAGGTGTACACTACGTCGTTGAACCGTCCCTTTCCTCAAGCGGTAATTTGGAATTGTCCATTATGAACGATTCCGAAGAAGATATCTCAGCGGACAAGCGAGTCCGCCCAGGGGAGCTCGCTGCCCGCGGGCAAAATAAATAAACCCCGGAAGGGCATGCATCCGGTCAGGGTGCCGATATTCTGTGTTTTTGCATGTTAAAGTTCGAAAACACTGAAACGCGTGCAAGTTCGCCCAAAACCCGCTCCAAAGAATTTTCGAATTTAAAAATAGAAGTGCAGCGCGCCCTTACTTCTGCATCTGACGGAAGGGCGATGGAAATTCGACTGACCAATACAAATCGAGAGCTCACGTGATCAAGGGACTGTCGCCAGCTCATAAACAGTCATTGGATTCGCGTTGCTGACTGACACGCATGAACAAACATTTCGTGCACAATCATAACTTGGAGCTCCGGTCATGCGAGAGGTGTAGCCCGTTAGTAGTTGACCATTCGCGACAGCGAAATGCTAACAACGTGACACGCAATTTCTAGAAACGCAGGAGAATTGTTGTTATGAGTTTTACTAGACAGAGTGCGCGGAAGACTTTATAAAAAGGATGTCGAATACAGAATGGCGAGAATGATAAAGAAGCATGCATTTATAGGGTCGAAACCGTGCTAGGCGAGGACCTCGGGACGTGGATGGGTTGGAAGTGTCGCGATTGGTGCGGAGCGACTCGTCGGTGGTTCGGTCCGAAGTGTAGGCCGAACCTCGAAACTGACGCGAAGTGCTCGGGGTTGTCCTCGCTAGGAACAGCCTCTACAGTAATGAATTCATATTCATTACACTCTCCCACCTTCTAAATAAGGTGCCCTTATACGAAGCCGAGTCTTGCAGTAGCATGAAAACTGCAGATCTCGGTTGAAACTGATCTGACGGTGTAGAAGTCGTTGACTGTCAAGTTGACGCGTGGCCGAACGCGTTGACCATGCGAAATTCAAAGAGTTGGAATGTCAGCCGTTGATACTGCCGATAACGATCGGGCGGTTGAATTCGAATGTCGAGTTGAAGAGTCGTTAATGAATGTAAGCCGTCGATGTGGGCGGATCTCTGTCGGACGGACAAGATAAACACGTCGTGGGCGGGAATGCTGACGCGTTGTCAGAAGTCGATGAAGCAGGACCCGTCGATGTCGTTGATGTGATCGCGAGCATCCGTCGTGCTGAATCTGTCAGATGAAATGTCAAAAAAACTGACAAGTACAGTGCGAGAGCACTTTCTCGCCCCCTTTGGAACTGCTGCCCCCCAAAATGTGCACAGCTGCGCGGGCACAAAACCTCAACCACCCTGACGCAGAATACCAAGTGTTATGACCTAGCCGCCTGAAATTCAGCCGATGTGCAGTCGAAATTGATGTCGGCGAAATCTCAGTGTCGAAAATCCCGAAAATGCCAAGGGTAAATTCTGTTGAAGTCCCTTCGAAATAATATCGTTTTTGCAGGAACTCGGCATGAAGAATTTCTTCGTGTTGTCTTGTTGTCACGACTGTTGCTGCAGCATCTCTCGTGACTACCACCTCGAAAACTCCCGCGTGGCAGTATCGAATCACTTGTCTGCTGCCCAATCTCCAGTTGGCAGCTGCTGCAATCCTGAAATTGCTGCCGTTTGTCTTGTTTGCAGGCGAAAATCCTCGCTGTAGCTTCTCCAGCTGTCGGTGCCCCCGGCAGTCTTGTCCAGGCTCGCCGAGGCCCTTGTCGCGTTGCTCCGAAAACTCCCGGGCAGGGACGAAAACAGCTCCTGCTCTTCCCTCTGACCTCGCCAATATTTTTTCAAACACGAACTTGAATTGCCGATGACGTCAGCTGCATTATCGGTGTTGTCGTGACTCGCCGAAAACCTCCGAGCAGGGGCGAAAACAGCTGTCGCCTTCTCCCCCCACTTGTTGCAAAATTTTCCCTCGTGTTGCGGCTGGTACCCCCGAGCAGCTTCCGATTTGAACGGCTACACACTTTGACGACGAGTGCCTTCACGCGCTTAATCAAGCAACGCTGCAGTCGGCCGTCGGCACGGATACAGTCAGCGACCGCGCTGACTCCGTTAAAAACTCTTTTCAGAACTGCTGGGTCCACCCGCAAATGTCGGAAATAACCACACCACGTAAAGTCTTGGTCGCCTGCAGGTTGTCCCCCGAAAGAACCGGTGTTTCTATCGCGCCTACCCGGTCACCATTTTTTTCGTGCGGTTAACCACCCAAGCGACCCACCAACAGGAGGTGCTTTTTTGGCGTGGAACCTAGTACTTATGGGTCTTCCGAGACCGGTTTTTACGGACCCTAGCGCGCATCGACGCCGCAGATCTCGCAGCAGAACTCCCCCAGACTGCTTCGAAGTACACCGAGAAACGCTTAAAACAGCTGGCGAGCAGACGTTCACCTGTCTCCCACCTGTCAGAATGAGAAACAGGAATGATGAGTGACTAGAAGGAACAAGAGTACAAATATGAAACCCTAATCTGGTGTACCCCCTATGGTGTGACCCACTACAGCCTAGAACCACACAAACATATAATGTTTGACACACCCCCATAGGCAAAGTGGGGGAGACCTAGGGGTCACAAGACCAGTCAAGGCAAAACAAGGCAAACAAGCTCAGGGTGGATCTCGAGGATTCCACACAAATTCCGAGCACAAGTAAGCGGTCACAAGACCAGTTCACATGCAGTTTTATAACAGAGCAAGAGGTACAATGATCACAACCTAGCAAGGGCAAACATGCAGGTATATATATAATGATCACAGTACAGGCAAGGTCAAGAAGTAAGCAA